GAATAACAAAAAAAGACAGGAAGTGACTTGTGTATATACATTTGGGCCAAGTTGGCTGTCGCAGACATTTAAGGGTTTGTTTTCTCTTTGCATCATCAACATGGGCCTTGTAATGACCATTATTTTCAAATAATCTTTGAAAATAATATCATCTATGGTTATTTATATGATCATTGAAAAATAGTTGGCACATTATCAGAATTCCCCAACCATTTTCAGCCTGAGACCTATTAATGTGGATTCTGGGCTTTGGGGGTGATTTTTGTTTGTTTGTTCTGTTTGATTTTTTGGCTCTGTGAGCACTTTCCACCATTTAAAAAAATATATAAAGTAATTTAATAGATTTTCATAATCTATTAAATGCATTTTTCCTGATGCATGAAAAAATTAAAACATTTTTCTTTCACTCTGAAGTTTCATTCTCCAGATGAGTTACTTACTTTTAAATGCATATTAAATTTGTTATCTTCCTACAGAATAATAAGTACCAATATAGTTAAAATTTTGAAAATAATAAGTACCAATATAGTTAAAATTTTGTATCTCCAAAATGAATTTAATTCAAGTTATTCTGTTTTCAACATGCTTTAAAGTTATTTGTATCATTTAAAGAAGAGAAGCTAACAAATCATGTATCATTTTTATTGTCATTCTATCAGAAAGTTTCATTTTTATTATAATTATTTCTGAAACACAGCACTTAATTAAACAAATACATACTTCTCTCTCTTTCTCTCTCCTCTCTCTCTCTCTCTCTCTCTACACACACACACACACACACACACACACACACACACACACACACACTGCTCTTTTTAAAAATGTGTTCAAGCTAGGTGTGGTGGCTCACATCTGTAATTCCAGCAATTTGGGAGGCTGAGACAGGAGAATCACAAGTTCAAGACCAGCCTCAGCAACTTAGTGAGAACCTATCTCAAAATAAAAAAATAAAAAATACTGAGGATGTGACTCAGTGGTAAAATACCACTAGGTTAAATCTCCAGTAACAAATATATATATATATATTATATAAAATAAAAATGTGTTAGAAAGATGCAGCTGTTGCAAATAATTTCATAGGTGATATTACACTACACAGAGAGCTATTTGCAGTTTACGTGCTAAAACTTTTTAGATTGGAAGCAGGATGGTCCGCTTTGCCTTGAATTGTGTTCTAATTTTGTTATTTATGTGAAAACAATGTAGTAGCAGTGGTACAATAAAGCTTTAAAAATAGCTTTAACATATTGTTCCATTGTGTAAGAACTTTTCCTTGTATTTGTCAAAACTGCTCTTTCTTGAACAGTGAGACATATATACACTTTTAAAGAACATCAGAAGAATTTAACAGACACTAAAGTATCCAAAGATCTACTATCTTTAGTATAAATTCATACATCTATTTCAAGGAAGAATTCAGAAGATAGAAAAATAAACTTATTTTGATAGCTATGAATATTCCTATAACAGATTTTCTTTCCTTTCATCTATTTTATACAATTATTCAATACCCAGATAAAAAGTTTTAAGAATTCCACTATGACTAAAGCCATACACTTAGAATCACCCAGGAAACTTGTTAGAAAGGGAGGATTTGGGTCCCACATCAAATCTACTGAATCACAATTTCTAGAGGGGGTTCCAAGGCAAACAGGTACCAGAGGTGAGTCTGATTCCTACCAACATTTGCAAAAGTGTGGCTTTAAAATTCACAAAGTTAAGGCCAAAATTTATTTCTGGCTTTTTAAATAGCATAAATAAGTTAAAAACACAGACACAAAATGAAGAGGTACTGGACCTGAGTATTTTGTAGTTTCTTTCTCTGGAAAAAAATAAAAGGAGGAGTAGTCTAAAATAGAAAATGGACATGTTTGGTTTGAGGTGTTTTAAAAATATATGGAGAAGGTTAATTAAAGACAATTACAGGAGACTGAATTTTTCCCCATAAGATAGCCAAAAGCTACCCACAGTGGTAAGATAAGCTGTGTTATTTGTAGAAATTGTGAGACTGTTTTGATCATTTATCTAATTTTGAGAGAGTCCAGTTTCACCCACTGAATTAATTATGTAAGTTAGTTAAAAACAAAGTTCTTAGGACAAAAACTTACCAACTACTCCTTAGTAAAGAAGAGTAAGCATAGGTTACCATATGAAGGAATGTAATTGCAGGCTTGGTATTTGGAACCATTTCTTTTTTGTCCTAACCCCATCATTAAAATTTTTTTAAGGACCTAAGAGCTAAAATTGTCATAGGTAGTAGTCATCTCAGAGAATTAGCATTGGCCAAAGTTCAAATCACCAAAATGCTGATCTTCATATACATAAAGTTTTATATCCCTATGATAGGTAAAGGTCTATTTAAGGGAACAATCAAGCACCTAACTCAATTAACTGCAAAATTAAGATTGCTTCTTGGAGTTTGTTGTAAAGGAACCTCACTAATAATATGGTTGAGTATGTCATGTAGAAAACAACTCAAGGATCAATCTGTCAGTCTATGTCCAGAGCAACTGATCCAGGCACAAAGACAGTGATAGTTGTACATGATTTAGAAGAAAAAAGACAGAAACTAAAATGAACGTCTAGAAGTCTTTCATAGCCTAGACCTAGTAGATGTGCAACTAGAGTTAATATACCTGAATTATATATGCAATGCCCAGTTACATCTGAGTTTCAGATAAGTGATCATTTTTAGTATATTTGTAATATACAATATGTCATGTAATCTTTGCAGTATTGTCTATTTGGAATATACTAAACACACTGAGTTATACTAAAGAATTATTGATTGCTTATCTGAAACTCTAATTTAACTGTGCGTCACTTATTTTTATTAGCTAAATCTGTCAACCCTCTGTACAAGGCACTCTGCATTTCAAAGGAAGCATGCTTAATAGCTAAGATTATTTTATTAGCTTTTAGGAGAATTGCGTGTGTGTGTGTGTGTGTGTATAAATATATGTATTCTTTTTCTTTTTTATACTGAGGATTGAACCTTAGGGGGCCTTAAGTACTGAACTACATCCCCATGCTTTTTTTTTTTATTTTGAGAGAGGGTCTTACTAAGTTGCTTAGGGTCTTACTAAGTTGCTAAGGCTAGCCTTGAACTTGTAATCCTCCTGCCTCAGCCTTCCAAGTGGCTGGGATCACAAGTGAGCCTCACCATGCTGGCTATTTATATCTTTTTAAATTGTAAAAGTAGCTTTGCTGTGAGAATCCTCTTTTTGTAGTCATCCTCCTATTTACATACCTTATCATATGAAATAGATTAGTCCATTGAAACTGGGATGAAAAGAAATGAGGCTTAAAGGTGATCAATAAGAGAATAGAACATTAATGAATGTTAAAGAGACAATTAATTACTTCTTTAGGAGACCTTCACCCGGCACATAGTATGTGCTTTATAAATATGAATGAACCAATAAAGGAATAGTAAAAACTAGAATCTTTCACCTGCCAGTCTTTAAGACAAAACGATTCAGTTATGGTTATCATAATTTGATAATATTTTGTGGGTTCTTATATTCCTGAAAATTCACCATTGATAGGATCAATGGAAACATCTAAACATATCACCTTAGCCCATAATTTATAGAATTTTCCAGGACTTCATATTGTAGGACTGTGTTCTAAAGTCTTGCCATACAAAGGGCATCCAAAGACTAGTATCATTAGCATCACCTTAGAGATTGTTAGAAATGCCAATATTGCATGTTAGCCTATCCCCAAAAGATGGAGGGCCCATTTTTAAATCATGGCTAGGTGAAACTATTTCAGAAAATTATATATATATATTTTAATGTGGGAGGTTTAGCCTTGCAAAGCAAAGCTGTAAATTAATCCTACCAGCTCATATATTTTAAATCAATTTGCCATGCTTCCAGAAGGTAGATAGCTTAGAAAATACAACAGTTCCATGATTTGGGACTCACTCTATTAGAATTAAAAACAGTTTATAACAATAGGTACCAAGTAATGGATAGTAATAAGAAGTTCTGGTGTGCTGTTTATTGTTCAGTAGGGTGACCAGAAATAACAATAATGTACAGTACATTTCAGAAAACTGGATTCTACATGGTTTCACCATAAAAAAAGATAAACATTTGAGGAGCTAGATATGTTTAACCTGATTTAAACATTACACAGCGTTCAAAGGTATTAAAACATCTCTATTATGTGCAATTTTTATGTTTGTATGTATCAGTTAAAAAGTAAATTAAATGCTAGATGTGGTTGTGGATGCCTGTAATCCCAGCAACTTGGGAGGCTGAGGCAGGGGAATTGCAAGCTTGAGGCCAGCTTAGCAAGATCCTGAGCAATTTAGCAAGATCCTGTCTCAAACAAATAAAAAAGGACTAGGAATGTAGCTCAGTGGCAAAGCACCCCTGGGTTCAATCTTCAGTACCAAAAAAAGAAATTAATTTATTAATTAAAAACAAAAAAATTACATTTAAAAATGTTTGCACTAAAAAGAAAGAAATGTTATTACTCCCCCAAGGAATCCTCAAACTTCACAATGAAATTAGGCAGGTCATTAACAGTGTTCTCAACCTGGTATCTTGTTGAACATCTCCTTTGAAAAGTTTATGAAAATTATGACATTCACCCATAGAAGAAAGGGTACACATGTCATATAATCAGAATTTTGCATTGAGTTTTGGAGATTAGTGGACCCCCCAGAAAACCAACCCAGCGACCCTATAGAGATGTTCATGGTAAATTTATTCTTTCTTCTACATGGACCTGGCATTTTTCCCCCAAAGCACAGTTTTCACAACTCTCCCTTCATCATAAAACTGATGGAAGGTGACAGGCGATTGCTGGAACACTGTCATCCACCCAAAGGATCTTTGCTTCTTTTTTCCAAACAACTCAACTTATCTACATGCCCATTACTGAAGGTGTCTTCTTTTTCTAAGTAAAATTGTTTTTATGTGAAGAATCTATAAATATTTATAGATATGAGAATAATTTTTGTAACTGTCCTTTCTTTACCTCAGCTGGCCTGGGAGCAGAAGTTTCAGTAAGGAGCACTAGAAACATGGCTCCTCCCCAGATCCCCACTACTTTTAATACAGTTCCATATAGCCCGGAGCACCTTATTAGGAACACCACAGAGGCCTTTATCATCAATACTACAGAAAACCACAGCCACAACAGCAGCAAGAAACCTTACCCCAATCTGCATGCAACTGGAATTGCAGATACATCGTGGATACCATCAACTACTTGGCCCTTCTCCAGCACCACTAAAGAGGTAAAAGGGGGGTTGAGGTGTGGTTGTGAACAGCCTCAGAAAGCCCATGACCTGAAAAGACTCGCTTTGCTAAAGATGCCACTACTGCAGGGGCAGACCAGGTGCTCTGTGTCTTAACTGCAAATGATTCACAAATGCATTTTGCATAATGAGAAAAATCTTTGATATTGAATTGAAATTTCTATATCTTTTTGAGGTGAAGATTATAAGGCCACCATGACAAAACGGTCCTACTATAGGTTGGCTACATTTTTAAAACTAAACCAGGGTTTGTGATCTTCCACATGACTTGAAACCAGGAAATCAGTAGCTGGCAGGTGTCCCTGCACCCACGTCGTCATCATTTCTGCTGTAAGGAAGAAAAAGGGTCACAAAGCAAAAGCAGATTGAGAAATCACTTTCATGGATTTGGGAACACAAAGATAAGCAACAGTCACCATTTCCACATCTACCCTTTAGAGCATCACCTACTTAAGGTCTCTCTTAGCATGTAAGGTGACAGAGGAGTGAAGTGACTAAGAGTAGTGATGGCAGCACTCATCAATTTGGCTTTGGGCCACCATTTAGGCAGTGTAATTTTAAAAGATCAGTAAAGATCAGGTATTGGAGCCATGGGTGTAGCTCAGTAGTAGAGCACATGCTTAGCGTGTTCTATTCCCAGCTCTGGAAAAAAAAAAAAAGTTCATGTTTCACGTGGCAGTGTTCAGCTGTTTTCTAGTAAGCAACTCAAATAATTCAAACAATTAAATTAAATTAAAAAGCCCAACACTATTCAAATGGCATAACATTTACTTAGTGCTCTGGTTTCTTTTGCATTGGGTAGAATCTAATAATGCATGTGGTTCCCAGTTAGTGAGCACATACTTCGTTATTGATCACGAAACAACGATAGCCAGTACCTTGAACAACTCATGGGATTTTGTTTTTATTTATTTACTTTATTACCATAAATCTTCCCTGTGAACTAGTTCTCTTTGTCACTGAAGAGAAGTTAGGAAAGCCCCATTTAACTTTTTGGAAACTCTTTACATCAGCTTTGCAACCCAGCATTCAATCTTTATCCATTAACAAAAATACCCACTTCAGGAATCCAGACTCTAATTTTGACTTAAAGATTAGCTTCTACTCCATCATTTTACCCAGTATGGACTTAAAGTAGGGAAAGGGTAACATGTCCCAAGTCTCTCACTTTCTATCTAGACTTTTACCTACCTATCCTAGTTCGGTAATTATGGGTTCAGATCTGTCTAGGCTTGGAAAGTGGGAAAGGAAGACAGGAAATGGGAGCAGGAGAGCTATGACTTAAGGCTACCATCATGAACTGGCACTGAGCTCTCCCTCATTCTCCAGCTCCTGTTCCCTTTCAGCCACTAATGTGAGCGAGAGATTCACCACTTACTTTTGAAAATGAATGCTTGTTGGTGGAACACCTCCTTATTTTGGCTGAATGTGCTTCAATCAAAACTTCCATACTAACATTAATTTACAAAGAGTATTCATTTACATTTGAGCTTAATTATATATAACACTACAGAAAAAAATAAATGTATCAAATAAGAAACATATTGATTAAAAACTAGCATAGATACATCTGCTAGAACACTGAAAGTTTGTCTTTTCCCAAAGAGATTATTTCCCATTTTTGCCCAGGTTTGACCATTGTGAAACACAGAGAGTTTTGAGACTTGGCCAGGCTCTGCTGGAATGTGTCCAGAACCACCTTCTACAGAGCTCTAATGCAGGCACACCACCCCTTGGGCCCACCCAGCCCTGTATTACAGAGCTCACCTGATTCAGCCCCCAAGCTGGATTTGTAGCTTTGGATCATGGCAAAAGCACTGGGGATTTTTAAAAGCCTTTTTCTAGAATGAAATCCACTGCAGTGCTTATATGAGCTCCCTGATGGGGTACCAGAATGGATATAAAGCCAGTTATCTCATGTTCCAGTTTTTTGTTTGTTTTGTTTTTTCAGTTTTGTTTGTTTGTTTTTTGGGGGGTTTTGTTTTGTTTGTTTGTTCTGTTTTTTGGATGGGGAGGGGGCTCAGGCAAAATCTTGACAATGTCCTGGGAAGTTGGGGTAGAAATATGTACTCTTTCCAAAGACAGTTTCTACAATTGCAACTTCCCAGGACTCTTAGCAGGAGCATTTACTATATAACAGTCATTATACACAGCTGTAGTTGGCTATACCTTGAAAAGTTAAAATGAGTCACTTAGGGTAGGAAATGCTTGTCCTTTGAAAACAATTTCAAAAAGTACTCTAGGCACCTAGAAAAGTATAAAAGAGGAGTAAAAGCATCATACTTAATTGCTTAAAATTATGTAAAAAGAACATCTCTATGTGTTGTTTTCTTTATTATACAGCACCTGGTTTGTGAGGATTTTGCACTGACTTATTCTCATTGAACTTTGGGTTGGGATGTTCTATTATTGGGTGAGGACAGGAAAAATCTGAATATGAGTCTTGGGAGGTTAGAGACTGTATTTACTTGGCTTTGTATTTCCAGCACCTAAACAATTGCATAATAATTACTAAATGTTTTCGAAAAGAAAGGAAAAGTATGGAATGGAGTGGAGTGTGAGGGGCATGACATAGAATGGAATGAAGTGAAATGGAATGAAATGGATGGGACGGGATGGCATAGGATAGGATGAAGTGGAATGGAGTGGAATGGAATGAAGTGGAATGGAATAGAACAAAATGGAAGGAATAGAATGGAACAGAAAAGAATGGAGTAAGATGGAATGGAAAGAATGAAAACAATTGCTGGGAACTGAGTGGAATGAAGTGGTATGGTGGGGCCCCTCTTGACCACTTAGGAAGCAAAGGGCTCATTTACTGACAATGTCTATGTGTCATGGTCTTGAGCAGCCATGTTTCATATTGTCTAATTTTTAAAAAAATATTTCTTTTATTTGTTTATTTTTAATGTGGTGCTGAGGATCAAACCCAGTGCCTCATGCTGCTAAGCAAGCACACTACCACTGAGCCACAACCCCAGCCCTATCTAATTGTTTTGAAGCTTGTGTTTATCTAGTGTTTAATGCATTTATATTATCAAATATACTTGGAGCTTCCTTCATAAGCTAATTATCCATCCTCCCTCTGTTCCTTATGTTTTCCCTATGTGGTCTCCTAATCACCCTCTTCCTGCCACCACCACACACAAGATAGTAATAAGAGAAAAGGAGGGAGAAGGCAGTGATGAGTGTTCCATTTAGTGACTTTGGAGAATGCTCACTCATCCAATCAACATTTCTTGAGTACTGAACCAGCGTCCACACACAGAGAACTCAGACTTTGAGGGCAAAGCCCTGATTCTGCCTCTTACTAGCCAGGTGACCAGGAAAAGTTACTTAAATTCTCTAAACTTCAATTTCCTCATCTGTAAACTGAAACTTCCACCTGTGATGGCTGTAGGGCTGGGAGAGATAATACAAGTGATTGTACTTGGTGAGAATTTAAGAAATAATATCAGTTATTGCAATCCTTTACTAAAACATTTTTTTGGTTTTTTATTGATTTTATTTTTTAAATACACAACAGCGGAATGCATTATAATTCTTATTACACATATATACCACAATTTTTCATATCTCTGTATATAAAGTAAATTGACACCTAATTTGTGTCTTCACACATGTACTTTGAATAATGATGTTCATCACATTCCACCATCCTTGCTAATCCCCTGCCTCCTCCCTTTCCCTCCCTCCCCTCTTCCCTATCTAGAATTCATCTATTCCTCCCATGCTCCCCATCCCTACCCCACTATGAGTCAGCCTCCTTATATCAGAGAAAACATTCGGCATTTGTTTCTTGGGGATTGGCTAACTTCACTTAGCATTATCTTCTCCAACACCATCCATGCAAATGCCATGATTTTATTCTCCTTTATTGCTGAGTAAAATTCCATTGTGTATAAATGCCACTTTTTTTATCCATTCATCCACTGAAGGGCATCTAAGTTGGCTCCACGGTTTATCTATGGTGAATTGTGCTGCTATAAACATTGAGCTACAAGATTGACAATAGCCTCGCTTGCATGACTTCTAGCATTGGCTGGAGGCTGGCTATCTAGGTTCTCTTCCACATGGCCTGTCATCCTCCAGTAGCTATACAAGTTTCCTTTCCATAATGACTTAGTGTAAAGAGGGAAAAGGTAGAAGCTACTAGGCTTTTGAGGACTAGCCTCTGAATCATACAATATCAATTCTATCACATGCTATTAGTAATACAAACCACAAGCCAAGCCAGATTCAGGAGAGAGCTGCAAGATCACATTGCAAAAAGGGGCATGCCTATTGAGTGGCCATTAAAATGCAATCTACTATGTCATCATCATCATCCTCACCATTGTCTCTATTTTTCAAATGCCTAGATGAAATGTAAATAAGTTAAAAACTTGCTCAAAGACTTACTTAACTGACAAGGGGGCTACAGAGCAAGAAGAATATACAAACAATACACATGCACACACACACTCACACACCCCTGAACTTGCAGTCACCTTGTTCTCTTACTTACAGTACTTGCTAATGAAGGCAAATGCCAAGGAGGAAATAATTAGAAACCCAAAAATCACTCTTTAATAATGCTATTGCAAAATTGTCCCAAACTGACTCTTTGGGGGGCAGACTATTGCTTATCTTTCTCCTTTCTCTTTATTTTCTCACATTCTTACCTGCCAGTGTGAGGACTCTTCAAGAGGTTGTATACTTGAGCCAGTGCAAGCCTTAAAACTCTGTGATTGTCTCTCTCTCCTCCCTACTCATGATCCTGGGCATTAAATGAATTAATAATATATATCATATGCCTAGAGTAGCACCTGGAAAACAGTACAATAAAGTTTCCTTAATTTAGCTGCTATTATAAATAGAATTATGTGGGTGGGTAGAAGGAAAAGAACAAAGTAGTGGAAGAAGAAACTTATCAGTAGTCTAAGTCTAGACCAGTGGTTCTCCTGATGCAGAACCCAGACCCAGAACTTGTTAGGAAT